CCTCTCTCCCTCCCTTCCTCCCTCCTTCTCTTTCTCTTCCCCTCCCCTCCCTTCTCTTCTATCCCCTCCCTCTCTCCAGTCTTGTCTTGTCTTGTCTTCTCTCCCCTCCCCTGCCCTCTCTTCTTCCTTCCCTACCCCTTTCCTCCCCTCCCCTCCCACCTTCTTTCCTCCCTTCCCCATTCCTTCCCCTCCTCTCCTCCTCTCTCTTGTCTTGATTTTGATGGGCCAAAACACAGCAAAACTTGGCCTATGCTTGGAGGCAGCTGGGAATGGCAATCGTCACTCCCGGCAGAACATCCCTTGCCCCATATTAAAAGAGGGTCCCTCTCCTTCCATCCCAGGTTGCCTATTTCCTCCTAAGCGCACTGAGCCTGAACGTCTGCGTGCTGGCCATGGCGTTCGCCGCCTACTGCTACTCCCAGATCGTCCGCTTCACCTGCGAGCCCATCTCCGAGTCAGTTTGCCACTGCAAGCTGGACACGGCGGACCCCCTGAGCCGAACCATCACCTACCAGAGTGACTGTGGCTTCATCACCAACACCTTCTACCTCTTCTTGCTGATCCAGTTCCTCCTCAACTTCCTGGCAGCCGCCGTGGGATTCGCAGCCTGTTTTGTGATGTGGAAGGATCGCTACCAAGTCTTTTACGTGGGCACCCGGATGCAGTCCCAAGCCACTGTGGGAAGACCCCAACCCAAGGTATAGGGCCGGGGTCGGCAACCTTAAACACTCAAAAGAGCCACTGGAACCCATTTCCCACCGAAAAGAAAACACCGGGAGTCACAAAAATCTTCCAGTGCCTATTTCCTGAGCAGCCACAAAACTAGCATATGTAGTTGAATTATATGTTCTGTTTTCTTCTGAAACTTTTCTTTTCTTGGATTTACCCACGATTGGCCTACCAGGAGTCGAAAAGCTCAATAAATCAAATGCCGGTGGATGTCACACACATTGGTGGCTGTGACGCTTATTTTGAGCAACAAAGCTGCAGCAGAGGGATGAAAGAGCCACATGCGGCTCCAGAGCTGCAGGTTGCCGACTCCTGATATAGGGAGACGAGAAGAAGGCCTCCAGGAAAAGCCACCAAAATCATGCCTTTCTCCAAAAGTAGTGACTCTTTCTAAAACCAGAAAAGAGATGTGTGGGCGCATCTGTTCATGTACACCCAAAGAATGGTGCATTTCTAACAACTGTTGCCAAACCCTCTTGCCAGAAAACCCTCCCAATGTGCCTCCATATGATGCATCCTGCATTTGGTGCTATAGAGCAGGAAGTGTGAGCATTTCCCGGAAGAGAAGAGAGACATCAATGTCCTCTTGCACATTCCCGCTTCTCAGAATTTGGGGTGGCTAGTCTGCAAAAGTTCCAGTTTTAGGTGCGATTAGAACTGAATTAGGGGGAAGGATTATGTTTTAATCCAGGGATCTCCAAACTTGGCAACTTTAAGACCAGTGGACTTCAACTCCCAGAATTCCCAGTACTGTCTGGGGAATTCTGGGAGTTGAAGTCCACAAATCTAAAAATAATCCCACATTTGGAGACCTGTTTTTGGTCTGTGGCATTTCCTTCTAGGGAAGAGCAGTAGCTCACAGCATGACACTAAATGAAACATAATAGGATATGGGGACCAAGGGCAAGTAGATGCAGAAAAGCACAGGTAGCCCTCGACTTAATGACAGTTAATAAATTGAGCCCAAAATTTATGATGCTAAGTGAGATGTTAAGTGGGTTTTGCCCCATTTTACGACTTTTCTTGCCACCGTTAAGCGAATCACTGCCATTGTTAAGGTTGTTAAGTGAATCTAGCTTCCCCGTTGTCACAAAAGGGGATCATGTGACCCTTGGACCCTGCAACCGTCATAAACACGAGTTCGTTGTCAAGCATCCAAGTGTAAATCATGCCACCTACGGAGATGCTACAATGGTCACAAGGGTGAAAAATGGTCCTTTTTTTCAGGGCCGTCGTGACTTTGAATGCCTGCTCCACAAACTGTGATGACCCAGAGTGAAACACAAACGTAACAAAATCCAAAACGTAAATAAATGTCCTTTAATGCCTCCAACTTGGCCCCACTGTTCAATAATTCTCCGTTGGAGATAAAACTTATTCAAAAATAGTCTTCAAAAGAAAGCAATACAGTCCAAACTCAATGAACAGATAGAGGTGAAATAAAAAACCAAACCAAACTACAGTGAAGGAATTTCCACAACGGACCAGGATAAGTAATTACCAAATTCAAGGAGATAACAAGGCAGAGTCTGTTGGAAGGACTCCAACCAAGATAACTTCAGCCCAAAATTAAACATGCTTTGCTTCTGACAACACTGTGTTTTAACCGTCTCTCTTATATACTAGTCTCCCCAGCTGCAACCAATGAGAAGAATCATGGCTGCTTCCTCTTTCATAAGCCAAGTTGTTCCCTTTTCTGTTCCTCCCTGCATGTCCTAGGATGCAGAGGGGATGGGCCTGGTTCTTCCTCTGACTGCCCAGCCGGTCTTTGCCCTTCCCCAGCTTCCTCCACAACCTCCGGAGCCACCCCTCTACTCCCTGTCGGCTGTTCCTCCTCTCCCTCAGAGTCTGACTCTACCAAGGGCATGACACTGTTGTAAATCAAGGACTGCCTGTAACCAAGGCCTCGTGTTTCTGTAAAATCCTTTTGTTTCTGATCCGTGTCGTGCGACTACAGGACCACAATACGGTTTTCGATTCCATAGGACCGCCAAGGACACAACTCCTGTTTTTTTTCACCGTTTGATTGCTTGGTTTTTCTTGCATGGGTTTGTTTTGAATAACACAGGTGTGTCACCGAGAACCAATTTCACGCTTGGGTTTGTCCCAGGAGATGGGCAGTCTCTTTCCAGTCCCATTAAAGCAGCCCAGTTTTCTTCAGGCTTCTGGGAAAAATAAAGGAGACACTACTTAAAAGAGTCGCCTTAAAAATGGACTTTTTAAAGCAGCTGATCCATTTTTCAGACAGAAGTCCGAATCTACCTGGGGGTTCTGAAGGGTTTCTTCTGAATTATTAAAGGGTTTACATGTCAATCTTTCCAAGAATAGACATGCTCTCTTGATGTGTTTTGACTACTATTGTATGTATCCACATCATCTGCTCCCAAAACCTCCACCCAGGGGAAGGTTATATCCTGCTATCACTAGACATATAATCCAGCTCTCTCATTGGTTAGGATTAATAATTACGCTGACCTAAGATGAGGACAGGGGACATGGTGGCTCAGTGGCTAAGACGCTGAGCTTGTCAATCAGAAAGGTCGGCAGTTCAGTGGTTCGAATCCCTAGTGCCACATCACGGAGTGAACTCCCGTTCCTTGTCCCAGCTTCTGCCAACCTAGCAGTTCAAAAGCATGTTAAAAAAAATGCAAGTAGAAAAATAGGGACCCCTTTGGTGGGAAGGTAACAGCATCCTGTGCGCCTTCGGTGTTTAGTCCTGCCGGCCACATGACCACAGAGACGTCTTCGGACAGCACTGGCTCTTTGGCTTTGTCATGGAGATGAGCACCGCCCCCAGAGCTGGAAACGACTAGCGCATATGTGCGAGGGTACCCTTTGCTTTTACCTTTAAAGGTGAGGACATGCAAGGAGCCCTCTTTGGAATGAGATCATCTTTTCATCAACTCCAACATCCTCCTCTCCAAAGGGGTCAACCAGATTTCTTGACGAGGTTGACAAGAGGATGTGAGGACAACCGTCATCTCCTCTGATTTATGTTCACCGAGAACCAGATTTTAAAGGAGAATGATCATCTGGACTCTTGGAGCCTTCTTGGAACTGTTGAAAGGACTACGTTGTAGACTGGAGATAGATGATGTCGTATCCTTCACCCTCTTGTTGAGTGAGGGTTAGGTTGAGCCCTCTCTCAACAGGAAGGGACACAACACCATCTATCTCCAGCCTACAACTCAGCTCCTTTCAGCAGTTCCAAGGAGGCTCCACACACCCATTTGCACCACTCAGGTGGCCCTGAAGATACAGATAGACCTCCGAGTGGCCCCAACAACTCTCTAAATTAAAAGGACCTCCTCCCTTGAAGTTGTCCCAAAGGTGCTTTTTTTCAGGAGGCACCTGGACTTTCATGTTTTTTTTTCTTTTGAAGACATTTTGCTTCTCATCCCAGAAGCTTCTTCAGCTCTGACTGGATGGTGGGGAAAGGAAGGACTGATACTCCTTGCAGACAGCTGGTCATTTGCATCCTTTTAGAGAGCAGTTGAGGCCACTTGGAGGTTTATCTGTGTCCTCAGGGTCACCCAAGTGGTGCTAATGGTTCCTGTAATCTGATTTTTTTCCCCTCTGGAAATCCATTCCTATTCCCACCCCATTCAAAGGGTGTTCATCCCAAATTGTCTAGTTAAAAGTCCATAGAGGTCCTTGGTCCTCCAGGTCCTGGTTGTCCCAAAGGTGCTTTTTTTCAGGAGGCAACTGGACTTTGTTTTTTTTTCGTTTTGAAGACGTTTCGCTTCTCCTCCAAGAAGCTTCGTCAGCTCCGACTTGGATGTTGGGGAACGGAAAGATTGATACTCCTTGCAGACAGCTGGTCATTTGCATCCTTTTTAGAGAGCAGTTGAGGCCACTTGGAGGATTGTCTGTGTCCTCAGGGTCACCCTGGTGGTGCAAACGATCCCTTCCAGCTCTATTCCGATTGATTGGATAAAAGGCTCCAGATCTTCCCAGGGAGTCTAAGCCATAGAAACCAAAATGAACATTCTGTCTGGTGGGGACCTTCCTGAGGGAGCCAGCAGCCCCACCCTACGGTTGGTGCCAGGGACCGCACCAACCCTTTGGACGCTGCCTTCACATGATCCCCGTTGGCAGCCAGCCGCTCTGCTGCGTGGGAAGCTCTTTGGACTTCTGCCCGCATAGCTGAGTGACCGCCCAACACCCGAGCGGGCCAGCCTTCCTTCCCTCCGACCTAGGAACAGGGCTGAGGCTTCATTGGAGCGCCTGGATAGGAGGCCTCCCCGCTGGCTCACAAGGGCTTCGTGCTTTACCTTCTATATTTGCAATCAAAAATTGTTTGGCTTCCTCCTCCCCTCCCCCTCCCACCGCCCTTCTCCTCAGCCCTGGCTGCAGGGCTCCAGTTCAAAATGTGTTTTTAAATACTAGGAAGAGGGTGGGGAGAGCAGAGAGAGGGGGGAAGTCGAAGGGGGTCAGCGAGGAACAACCGCTGAAGGCTGCTCAGCTGTGTACATGCCTTTCAGGAAACCGTTGAGGCTTCTGGCTTTTGGATCTGTTCTATGATGTTCATCCGTATATAGTATATGCAATTGGCCAAATACTCTTTCGTCCTTCCTTCCTTCCTTCCTTCTTTCCTTCCTTCCTTCAGTGTATAAATCTAAGTGCTATTGCTTTTCCTTCCACTCTTTCTTTCTTTCTTCCTTTCCTTTCTTTTTTCTTTTTCTTTCTCTCTCTCTTTCCTTCCTTCCTTCCTTTCTTCCTTCCTCCCCTTTCTTCCTGCCTCCTCTCTGTTCCCCTCTTCTCCTCCCTTCCCTTCCTGTTCCTTTCCCTCCCTCCATCTTTCTTGCTTTAATTTCTTTCTATTTCCTTTTTTCTTCCCCCCTCCCCTCCCCCTCCTTCTCTTCCCTCCCCACTTCTCTCCCTCCTTCCCTCCCTTCCTTACTTCCTCCTTTCCGCTTTCTTCTTCTTCTTTCCTTCCTTCTTTTGTTCTCTTTTTCTTTCTTTCTTTTTCTTTTTCTGTCTCTCTCTTTTTCTCTTTCTTCTCTCTCCCTTTCTCTTTCTTTTTTCCTTCCTTCCTTTCCTTCCTTTCCTTCCTTCTCCATCGTGGTGCTCTGTTATTCTCTTAATGCTTGGTGGTTGCTGGCTGCTTGAAGGAACCTGGAGGCACAATATTGTCATTTCCAGGGAGCTGATGGGTGGGAGTCCAA